GCGCCAGAGCGTGCCCCTTGGTTTGCCCCCCCCACCCCCCCCCCCCCCCCCCCGTGGTATGGACACAGGAAGTGATATGGACACATGGAGGTGATCAGCTCACTCACAGTTTGAAGTGATGCGTCAGGATCCCGACCAGTTCCCCGACGCGGCTCTCTCCGTCTGGCTCCGCCCTCTGCAGGCAGAACGCCATGTCGTCGTATTTCTGGGTGTGCAGGACGATCAGCTGGTCCGGGCCGCTGGTCAGGCTCACTCCGATGACCTGCAATAGAAGAAGGAGATGGCGGTGAGGCGCCGGGGGGGCGGGGCCATAGAAGAGGGGAGCTCAGGAGCGCCACCTTGTGGCCATTTTGTTATCTCCTAAAACACCCCAAAACTGCGATTTTATTACATTCTTAAAGATTAAACTCCGCCTCTCCTTCAGTCTTACAGCTGTACTGGCTCCTCCCCCAGACTGAAAGCGATCACAGTACTTCCCCCTCAACACTGCCTTCATCTGCTTTTCTCCTCAGAAAGACGGCGCCATCTTTATTCAGGCATCACCCAGGGTCGCCATCCACTTCCTGGACTGAGATCCTGGCTCAGAGAAGACACGCACCTGTATATCCCGGTGTCTGTGCAGTTCTGGTTCACAAATGTCTGACACAGATCAGCCCCCGGCTGCAGCCTCTCACCTTGTGACTGGATACAAAGTTACAATGTTGCAGCAGTCTGATCACTGCAGGGGGGGAGACTGAGGGAATGCTTCCTCCTGCCTGCAGCAGACTGATCACTGGGGGAAGGGAGACTGAGGAAATGCTTCCTCCTGCCTGCAGCAAAAGGATCACTGGGGGAGGGGAGAATGAGGGAATGCTTCCTCCTGCCTGCAGCAGACTGATCACTGGGGGAGGGGAGACTGAGGGAATGCTTCCTCCTGCCTGCAGCAGACTGATCACTGGGAGAGGGGAGACTGAGGGAATGTTTCCTCCTGCCTGCAGCAGACTGATCACTGGGAGAGGGGAGACTGAGGGAATGCTTCCTCCTGCCTGCAGCAGACTGATCACTGGGGGAGGGGAGACTGAGGAAATGCTTCCCCCTGCCTGCAGCAGACTGATCACTGGGAGAGGGGAGACTGAGGTGATGCTTCCTCTGCGGTTACAATGAGACAATGTAACCGTAGAGGTCACGGTGAGAAGGGACTGAAGGCATCGCAAAGTCCTCCAACCCAATCAGAGTGAAGGGCTGTACGGCCTCCATGGAAGGTGATCACATGACTCATTCCATCCCAGATCCCAAAAATAAGAGGATGATTCCTCATTTTAGGACAGTGGGCGGAGCCATGCAGATCATTCCTTTACGCCCCATTGGCCAGAAGGACACCCAGAACCTCCGGTGCATGGAGCGGACCAAGTCTAATATCATGGAGCCATTTATACCAAACTCCATGCAGCTGTATCAGGCTTGCTGGCCATCACGGCGTCTATGGAGGAGGACCTGGGACCCAACGAGTTCTTGACGGGCCCCAAACCTTGCTGCATAGTAGTCCTGGTTCCAGGGAGGGGACCCAATGAGGCCGCATGACATTACATGTCATGGGGGAGGGGGACTAAAGGAATCATAGA